ATGTCTAGCCAAATTTCATAATTAGCGTTGCATGGTCTTCGGCGGCTACTGTGTATATGTTGCGATTACAAGACGAAATTGTAAAGTGTTTTTTATTAGCAATAACTGTATAATTAGAATCCAAATCTCGGGGTTGACGTAAAAATGTGATACTCCGTTTAGTTTTGGATTTTGTACCTCAAACTGTATTCTTTTATTACAGATGCCTACGAAATCGGTACGTCCTTGAATTCAGTCGTTCAAGCTTTATGATGAAGTAAAGTATTTAGCCACTAGTACTTGTAATTGAAATTCTGTACCCTCTCAGATCTGCGGACATTTCATTAAATTTGAAAATGTTTTTAATTTGGCTTGCTCAAGCGAGTTAAAATTGTCAAACTGAGTTAAATCCGTTTTGTATGATTCGTTGAATTACAGCTGCATCGGTAGAGATTAAATGTTTCGGTATTTAGAGTGTTCGCCGATGGGGTCGATTTTCCAATGGAGTTCTGCGAGTAGTGATTCCTCCAGAAACTAACTACTATTTTATTAACTAATAAAATACATTGCTGCCAGCTCGGCAGCATTTAAGTGTAAACATATTGGAAAACATTTGTTCTCCTCCAGAAATGTAATTTGCCAATAACTTAAAATGAACGAAGCTATAAAATAGAGTGGAACCCGATTGTTGGGCAGTGTAAACTGAGGTAGCGGGTTTAATTCGTTTCAACACCAAGCTCGGATGTTGGAACGCTCGTCTTGGCAATCGTACCCAGATAAACTGTATTAGTTTACTGATTGACCGCTAGCAGCCGAGGAGCAACGCCATGGGATCAAGACTTAATGGCGAACACACACATTCACACTAAAAACTCGTTAACTGAGAGGACCCTCGTCATTTGAAGGCAATTTTCTGCGAGTGGATGGCTGGTTACCTGTAATGTTCGTTGATGGAGCTGCTATTCATCCGAGGCTCAACTGTAATTAAACAAGACAGTAAACAAGCACAGTAAATATGTGCATACTTCGATTCGCACTATGACACATGCTACCCTTGCTTTCTTCTATTTTGTTGAAATCAAGAATGATTTAATGTGGCTTGGTGTTCAGCTTCGTCATGCAAAGTGCTTCTTCATAACATAATAAAACTACATAAAAAGCGAATTTCCCGTATCTCAATCTTTAACTTACAATATTTTTTACTAGTAGGCGTGTATGAGTAATAGTTTTTAAACCCCGAGTGTCAACTCAATTTTATTTTAAGGTGAAACAACATTCTGATAAAGTCGATAATGCTTAATATTGAGTTTGCTGTTACCTTTCATGAATGCATTTGACTAGCTTAAATATTCTTGAATTTAGGCAAAGGAGACATCGATGGTAAGTTTATTTCGGATTTTATTTGGGTAGAGTTATTTAATTTGAATAGAACCTCCAAAGAGAAGTACACCAAGTAAATGTGCAGCTTGCATTTTTGCTTCCCCTTCACAAGTTTACTCACTAATAATTTGTCTCCGTTGGTTTGCGGGCGTTCCATTACTCAAGCTAGTTGTTTCTTCTCATTCACTCCACATTTTGGTGTTAACGAGCACTGAAATGGCTGAAGGTGGTAGGCACTCGTGTAATGTTTGGTATTTTAGAATCCTGGTCTCATCTTGGTGATGTTTACAACGGAACCTACCAGCGCAGCTCCACCACCGGCTACTTCTACGCCTTTATGGATTTCAAGCCAGAGGTAGATTTCAATTTCTAGATTTTAGTTCCTTACATTTTAGGATAAACTAGGTGTCTTATAAATAGAACTGTCTATTGTTCATAGTAATTTGCTAAAACCAAACGCATTATGTGAATTCCTGAGCCACTTGCCACCTTCCCCTTACACATCTAGAGGATACACTAGTTCATATGAAAATATGTATAATTCCTTACCCTGTTCTCAGAAAATAAGGCACAAAACACGCACATATTTTTTGCATTAAAACAAGGATTTAAACACAACCAACAATGTCATCCTTTGGCAGGTACTGATTATGATCATTTGCATGGTCTTTCGAGGTAAATGCCGTCTGAGTCAAGAGTTTTGCTAATAGGTTGTCATATGTCTTGTTGGACTACACCAATTCAGTAATATATTCTGAGCACACTGAACCTGGTTGATTAACACACGAATGGATCACCTTGAACAGGACTTTAAATGCTAGTTGTTAACTTTTTAAACTGCCCTGATGCCAATTCCTGAGGTTTTACGATAGTTAAACGTTTACCTCAATTGGTCTATTCTATTTTGCTAGTGCTGCTGACGTTTTAAGCATTTCCACATAAGATGCGGTGCCACTGACAATATAAACGTCGAAACCTATTTGTCCAAAGAGATCTAGTCATTGTTTTCTCACAAAATCCCCCTTTCATAGGAAAATTCTCAAGCAATAATGCATCACAAAGCACGATCTGTCTTTAGGATGTACGATGGACATTCGCTAAGAAACCAAAGGGTGTAATCCACGCATATGCTGTTATTTTTAGAATATTACTTCATAACTGGTCACTGACTAGCTCTTACTAAAAATAGGTACGAGAAATGCATTAATTCTGCTGATATAGTCAGCGGCTGTTTCATTGTACGCGGTGAATTTGACGGGTTGACTGCCAGCTAACGCTGTCTCACACATTGTTGCTTAGTGGATGGCCCTAGCGCACAGCTTACTTTTACTTATTTTTGCATTATGTAAAGGATGCCTGTAATAAATAACGTGCTGCAGCCACATATATGATCCAATGTGTGCCTATCAATCTGAAGCGGGACAGAGGCACTTAGTGGTGTCGTGTCAACGATCAACGACTGATAACGACCTTAGTCTTCTCGACTCTGTCATGACACCGGGTCTTTGTGGGTAGAAAGGAAAAAATATGATAGACGAAGGTTAATTTTACCTATTATTATAAATTGATTCACGCACAATTAACTGACTCCGTGACCACAACTTTCTGAAACAATACCAGACACTGCTTATTGCGGTTTAAAAGGCTGCTGATGACGAAATAGTCAGTTCTTCCTTTGAAATGATGGTCAGTTGCACTGACGCCACACATTCATTTGCGTTTGTGTGTGAGAGAGAAATCAGTGTTTCGGTTATTTTACCTGTGAATGCTCTGAGTAAGTACAATCAACTTCAAAGCACATCGGTCTTGAATTCATTCCTCTTGACTCCTGTAACATGCCTGCCTTCAGTTGTGTTTACAACATAATAATTAATTGACCGCTGTTCTAAGTACCAATGGCCACCTTTTTCTACTTGAGGGGAGAATTGAGTGGCGCCTTTGAATATTTTTGTGTGTTGCTTTGTCCCGTTTTGCTGCAACCAAATTAACATAATGAGAAACGAAATGACTGCACGCCTGGGAGGCCTTATTCATGTAGCCATCTTTTGGGGGTGAGAGCACTTCTACAGTAGATTGGCTATCTTATAATATATGGAGATAGAAATTTGAAAGCGTGGCTCAACACACATTTGGGATTGTTTATTTTATTCATTGAACTGACCTGATGCGAAACGTCCTGTTTTCTAGGAAATAGCTCAGTTCAGATCTAAATATTGACGTAAAAATTGGTCAACGTTTGCCAAATCCAACGGTTCCTGATATGCTACGAATATCCCATGGATTTAAACACTGCAGACCAAATCATCTTGTTTTTGTGCAGGCGGTACTATAAAAGAACAAAAAGAAGACCAGAAACGTTTTAATTATATATTTTCAGAGAACAGAAATTATTTTATGCGCCTATGAAATGGAGGTAACTGCAAGTACAGGATAAAACATTATTGTCGGGAAAAGCAGAGCGGATTAAGTTAAGAATGTGCCATTTTGCAAATCTGTCACGTTTTGTGCCATATAATTAAATAATAAACATATAGGGTTGCAATCTGTTTTATCACATCGAACATTACGACCGTAAACATGCATACATACGAGCACCAGAGATGTCCCGTCACTTTCTCTGTGTAAAAGATGTCCAAACGTTTTCTCTCTCTCTCTGGTGCAGTATGAACGAATAGGAATGTTTTAACGGAACGCACAGAAGATTCTCAATTTCCGCAAACTTGGAGTATATATTCTACCACTCCGTTGTCCTTTTGCATTCATAGGACGGTGCCTCAAATTAAAGAGAAATCCTGAAAACTGATCCAGCATGCACAGAAAAGCGAGTTATTTCGTGTTTAACAAAGGATTTATTCCTAATACTCAGGAAAATTAAAAATCCAGTCATACTTTGTGGTTTTTATCTTGACTCAATCTTCGAAAAAGGCAAATACGCAGATACTTGACCCCGACAAATCAAATTAAAGCGCCACTCCGAAGGATAACTGGTTATAAAAAGCATTTTTATTGGTCTTAGACATATTAATATCTGAGTTTTGTTGCAGACGTTCGTTATTTTTGGCCAAAATTGACATGTTTGAGTGATCCTAAAACCATGACATGCACTATATAAAAGGCCCAGAAACTTACTATCTAGGTGAATGCATTTAAAAAGATATCTACTTTTTAAAGATTTTGGTGAGCACTTTAAACACAATCGTTATTTATGGACCATCGATTGAAGCCACTAACAATCATAAAATGTTGATCACTATTTCAAAACCGATCTATATGTAATCCTGAAATGTGTAATCCTGAAATAATTACAAAGACATGTGACGGAGAAACATTTTTCTTAGTGTGCACAAAATCGTACGCTTGCGAATGCACTTGACAATTTCACCTAAATGTATTAGTCAATGACCGGTATGTCCGCACATGATCTTACGAAATATCTTACCAATGTGACCTCCGATCGGGAAATTAAACAAAGATCTGGTTGCCTTAATCCAGCGTAACTCGAGCAATGTATAAGCAGAAGAAACAACTAGCAATTCCAATGAAACCCTGCGGGTTGTTTGGTAACTGCCATACATTACATCGCACGAAATATGTGGGCAAATGGCTCCGAAATTTTTACGAAAAGGTTATTTTCCAACGAAATTGTACTTGTGCTGCATGTGCAGACTTTCTCTAAATTTTAAAATTAAGTTTACCTATAACGCTCGATTTCCACTTATCGGAATTTTTCGATTTTCTAAAAAAGCTGGTTTCACTCGATAAGCTGGTATCACTCGATAAACTGAAATCTGAATTACTTTGAAGAACAGCCATTACTTTTCTACTGTTAGTTGTTAGGGGAGCTGTGTTGAGCTGTGTTAGCGTAACAGGGGTTTTGTGATAAATCCTTAGAGTTCGTGAGATAACCCAGCTACTGTTCAAGACGACCACAAAAACGTTGAGTTCTCTTTCTTAAAACTAATTAGTTTAAGAAGCAGAGTGTGAAGTACATTTGCAATAAGCCTAAATGTAAAGCTTATTCTAAATGCTTGTTAAGCGTTTATTTTTAGGCATTCAGGTGGCACTGGCGCATGGATGGTGAAAACTGCATTGCTGGTCCGCACAGTTTCCCCTGCAAAGTTCGTAAAGGTCGGCACAAAATGTAATCTATAAAATATTTTTTTATGACGGGAAGACTTTTGGCATTTTACTTCACACCAAACTAAAATCTCTGATAGCAAATATAATAGGATGAAATGAATGCATACGGTAGATTAATTATGCCACGAAATGTCAACCGAAATATGGCAGCGTAATTTCGATTCGAACATACTACTAAGACCAGATTGGGGGACTGATTATAGTAAGCATAATCACAATCAGACTTTTTAGGTAGCATGTGTTTTTTTTTTCGTAAATGTTCACTTTTCTTAAAAAATTTCAATATATACTATAGAAATTTGTCCCAAAAATAGTCTCTCGTAGTTTTTGATAGAAACATCTGTTTTAATCAAAGAATATAATTGGAAGTAGGCTGTCTCTAGATATTAAAAAGTTTTCTAACTATGAACTTTTTACGACCGTGAAAGGGTCATTCATAATACATCGTATTCGTCTATTTACTAATGTTGCCTATAAAAGGTACGACATATTTCAAATTAACTGCAAAACTTAAAAGCCACTATGGGAGCCCTTCAATATTTCATAGGAGAATACATGCAGGCTACAAACAGGCTACTTCTTAAAAGTCCATTTTAAGCTAGAAAGATGCCCGTTAAAAAGCCAACGTTCTGGAGTAATTGAAGTACCCTCCAATTACGCCGTATGGCAACCATGATTAAATTATTATTTAGGTAATTTGTATGAACCAAGAAACACCTTGCATTATAGCATACTAGAATAAACTGGTTATGTATGTGTTTGACAAAATATAACCGTAGATATCTGGGTGATTAGGATGTCAAGAATGAACTTTTCGGTAAACAGTAATGGAAGGCGCATCCCTTGACCAGCTTACGGGGTTCAACTAACTTCATCAGGTTAATAAACATGTTACGTTGGTATATCTCCCACTCAAAATAATAGTCCACGTTAGGTCGACTGGGACCAAAATTATCTAAAAAAACTCGACATTGGAAATAACTAATTCGTCCTAATTGCAGAGCTGGTATGATCAGTTACGCCTTCCAAAAGAACCAAAATGCAGAACGCGTACAACGTGTTTACGACTGTTTAATCAGCTAATTATTTAAACTAAAATCGGCAAAATGAGATTGGACTTGTAAAACATTTCTAAATTTATTACCTTAAGAGCACGCTTCCACTTATTCTATTCCCAATTAGTTATTGGATCTTCGTTTTGGCGTGTGAAAGTCAACTCAGTAGATTCACTGGCAGAAAACAAACTGTTTTTTGACGAAACTAAGTCTGCTTCAGCAAGGAGGTACACTATGCACAGCACGCCTTGGTCCGAAACGGTAGAAGGTAAACGGTTTATATATTTCTTAATATTTTAGCGTTTTAAACAAGAGTAATCTCACCATATATTATTTTATCTAATATTGTTCGTCACGGTTGTATACGGTGGCCAACCACTGTGCTACGAAATTCACTTGACCCGTTTTGCCTTAGGGT